CGTGCAGTATATGAACCAGCAAATTGAGTTGGTTTATTCAAAAACAGCACATAACTCTTCTAACCACCCGTCGTTCCACTGATTCTGTATCTTCATGTGAGTAATCACACCTCCTCGCAGGACTTGGCCAGGYTGACTGGTGCACGTGTGGACAACCAGTCAAATGGGCTCTTCTTTTCAATCGCATCACAGGAGCATCGAGTGAAAGAGGCTACAGATTTTTCCTTTTTTGGCAGAAAACAAATGTTGTGCAAACGGGGTTGTTGTGCATGCAACACCATCAAGAAAGAGAAGAMAAGCTTGATCTGGCAACAAAGTGTTTCAGGAAGTTCAGGAAAAGGACATTCTTCTTTGCATTTCTGTTACTTGCTGTAGAAAGAACCAAAGGAAACAATTTAGGTCCCTGAAAACGTTTTGAGACAAAGTTAGATGACGGTGGTTATTTGTTTTAATGGAAGACCGTCTCACTATTTCTTGGTCACCCTTAGTTGTAGGACCTCGTTGAAACACATCCAAATCACGAGCCTGCTGCTGCTGTTGGCAGTGCAGCTACACTGCCTGGCATTAACTTCATCCGGCCCAATCAATAACTTTCCTCTTCCAAAAAGGAATGCGATTAGCCTAACTTGCCTCGGCTCTTCTACTCCCTTACTCCATCAACACAGGAAACACAGACACTTACTGTAACGCAAACACACAAATACATTTGCTGTAATCACACACCTGGATGGAGGCATACACAAACATGATCCCCGGAGGAAAATAGGAAATCTGAGCTGGACTCCAAGCAGCACTCAGTGAAACTCAAGCGGTGWCTCAGCAATCAGATTAAAACGGAAAAAAGAAAGCAGTGAGATGGCGCCAAAAAATCATAAAATTGTTATCTGTTCTGAAGGTAATCTTAACCATATTTCTTTTATCATCACGTCTCAAAGTTTCTTTTTTGTTTGCCCATGCTTCCTTTCCTGGTGTTTATCTCTGATCTCAAGAGAAAAAGTTCCTACAACAAAAGGGACTTAGGTGATTTAAAGGCTCATCAGTCTAATTTGTCATTGGGTTTTTGTTGCTGCTTCACACGTTCCTCCTCCTTTTCCTTTTAATTATCCCCTTCATAATGAGATCAGAGCATGAAACGTTGTCATTATCTCCTGCCCCAAAAGGCAAAAGGGCAAATTTTCTTTTTTTTTATTGTCTGTGTGTGCATGTTGGTTTGTCCGTATTTGCAAAATACCGTATATGGAGCAAAAGCAATATGTCAACATATTGATTTGAGAGAAACTCTGAGAAAGTAGTAACTTGTACATCAACAACTGATTAACCATTTCAGTCAAACTTGTTTAAAATGGCTCCCAGAGCTTGGTGACTTTGCAAACAAAAAAGTGGCCATAACTCACTTACAGATATTGCTCTCAGATTTAGTGTTTTAATAGTTGAGAGTCATTCCAAACATAGAAATCGGGCACTAATCAATCACACAAGGTCGGTTTTTAAAACTTTGCCAATAACTTTTGGCGCCAAATAACCATTTGGTGTGCATCCACAGCTGTTTAACTTTTGAAAAAAAAAAATTAAAAGCCAGTCGGCATTGAGACACACTCAGCCAGTCTTACAGTTATTGAGTTGGAATTTTGTGTATTAGTGACTGAGACTAGTTTACAACACATGTTGGCACTGACTGATATCCGGTGATGATTTTGGTGATACGAGCTGAGATTCAACCACAACACTTCCATCTATTGCCCAAAATTGACAAGGTCRGACCACACTGACTATAACTTTGTCCCTTCTCATCATAAGGCAACTTTAGTTTAAAGCACAAGCATTTCTTCAAAGAGCGCTGGAGGCTTAATTTTTAAAGCATTCAAGTCAACTGCTTATCGTCCCACTTAACAGAACAGACGTTACATTTCTGTCTGCATTTGAATTCAAACATAGTGGTGCTTTCGTTTGTATGGCTTTTCTCWGCATTTCTCTCCCCCCTGCGAGGTAATTCATTAAAAGACACATATTGTATATTAAGTAATACAGAGTGCTCAGAGTGCAACTTTTCTCCCTCCTTTTTTTCTCCCAGAAAAATGTGGGTGGGCGCTCTCCTTGATTAAAATGCACACACACATTGTTCATCCTTTATTTATTATAAAAAAAAGGCCTGGTTTGATAAGGTGGACATGTTAAAAGGGCAGGGGTAAGAGAGATTCATGATATGATGCCGTCTCCAGGTCGTGCATCACAGTCTGTGTGGCAGGACACAGAAGCTGACATTATTGGATCAGAAGTGCTTCATTAAGCCTCCACAGGACATTTTCTGCTGCAAAGCCTGCGGACACAGACATGAAAGAAGAGGAAAAAGAAAAGTGGGGATCTGAGGAGGCAAAAGAAGAAGCATCATTACTGGAAGAAGGTGGAGGAAAAGCTTAAACGGTTTCGAACATCCAGGAAAATACAATTAAGCAAAGCGTAAAATTAATATAGATGACAGTGAAAGAAACTCCAATTTTCATCAGTTTTAGGTCATTTAATTTTGCCTTTAGTCATAAAAGCATTTAATTAGAAAAGGATTTAGAGAAGAATGAAGAGGAAAAGCATGATGGTAATTTAAACAGGAACAAATGACTTGAAAGAAAGCAAGATGTTGAAATTAATTTCAGCTACAGTGTGATGTTGCAGCCCATTTCAGCCAGCTGGAAAAGGAAATCAYAATAATTCATATACACTATTTTAGTAACGTTTATAATCTTTATTATGTATTACATTCACATGTTTATGTGGTTAATTTCAAGCATGCTTACTACAGCTAGCTGTAGTACTTCCAAGGCTGCCTGAGGCATTTTAGAAAAKAATATTGTAATCTTTCTGCTAGAATAACTGCAATGTAAAATRTACTACAGATAATTCATAAAACAACATTTGCAAACCACTATAAATCTTTCAAGAATGGAGATYAAGATTCCTGTCAGAATTAAACCTTTATTTCTCCAAATGAAGGTACAACGTATAGAGTTGCCTGCAACAGGTGAGATATTTTTCATAACTTTTCCACAGAACCCTACATAAAACAAAAAAAAAGTATTTTGCTTATGCCATCGTTTTGATTAGAAGCAATTTGAAATCATTTGTTTTGACACATRTTTTTTAAGAACAATAAYATCTTGGTAAATTGGTTTGCAAGAYTTGAAATAATCATTTTCTGCCTTTTATTTTTTTTAGTTGAGCTGAACATTTCAATATACAATTAAATGGTGCCACCAAGTGGCAGAAAGGGGATTCACATYCTTGAACAATCAGCACAGTCTACTGTACACAAATCAAATGAAAACATCAAGCTCTAATGCTTTGAAATTTRTTTTCATGACAAACATGAAAACGTGAGGAAAAAGTACCCTTAAGTTACCTTTRTGGAAACTCAGGATTAAAGCTTAAAAAATTTGCCACTCAAAGTATAAAAATATGTCCTTTTAATAATAGCTGAGAGGATGACCCCAGCATTTTAACTGATTCCTAACAGCTTCATTTACCTAAAAAAGAAAAAAAAAACATCAAAACTAAATCAGGTTGAGATTTGATCAGTCTGTTGCTCCACTGCATTTTTATCTGAATTAAAATCTTTGCTCCTAATTAGAAGCTCTGGTCAGGACAGTGATGCATCATCTGTGGAGTTATCTCAAATGAGATTTTAATGAAAACCACAATCAGAATCAGATTTCTGAGAACACCGGGAAAATTAAAAATAAATCTGAACCATATCAGACCAACACGATTATAAAATAATTTGCACTAATTATTTGTGGATAAACAAAACACTTAAACTTTCAAATTACAAATGTGTAATCACCACCCGCTTTGGATGTTATCATCCATTAAATGGACGTTATTGGGTGTTATCAGATCCCTAGAATGGTTTCAGAATGTCCCAACTGTRTGTAATAGTGTTCTCAGCAGCAGCTTGTAGCATTTACTGTGGTGCTCCCTTATCTGTAAGAAAACATGCTTAATTCCTTATATACATACTGGCTTATTGTCAGAGGTCATGATTAATGTGCTGATTTTATAACGACCTACAATATTGTTTGGAAAGTTAGATTTTTACATGACTAAATTGTCTCATTGTGATGTATTAACCAGACATGCAGAATGTACACTTTTTCTAATCAGAGGCATTCCAGTCTTATGTATTGCATGTTCAGACTGATAGTTATTGAACAGGGGTGTCCAATCCTGATCCTGCTGAATGTCTTGTTTTCCTGCTCCAACATTGACAGTGATTAAATTAAGTTCTGCAGAARCCTGTTMATCCCCCACTCATTCAAACCAAGTACAGTATGTTGGAGCAGAGARCTCCTAAAGCATGCACGATGGTGTCCCTCAAGGACAGGAACATCACTGTTTTTGTTCATTTCAAAGATACTGGCTTAAAATGAACCTGTTACTAAATTCAGTGCGTGCAAGAAGATGACTGAATGGGGGTTCTGTGTAAACTGTGAGCAATAAACATATTACCTGTTTTGAATAGTTCTTCGAAAGTCTCAGTTTGGGAACAAAATAAAATGAGTTCTGACGAGATTATAAGCTAATGGCTAGTCTGAGTTGCACCAAGATGAAAGAGAACCTTTTAAGAACCTCCTACCACTTCCAACATTCCCACTTCAGCACACCTTCGTAACAATGCTTCTGGGACGGAATGCTCTGTGGGGCGGTAGTTTTACAGCAGACTGAGCTCCAGGGAGGAGTTTTGTGTTAATGAGTCRAAGCACTTACACTTATGGTTGATATTATAGCATGATATAAAGCTCAATTTTTTTTGCATATCCTCCCCCAAAAAAATATATAATAAAAAAAGGTAATGAAAAGTATTCACATACAGTACATGTTTATGAAGGTTTTATGAAGGTTTTAAGAATGTTTGTTTTTGGCAGCTGTTTTCATTTTCTAAAAAAAGGCTAACATATTTCACAAAGAATTATTTTAAGTGGTACTGACAAAAGGAAATGACACATTGACAATAAAGGCTTTCTCAGTTGTAAATTTTATTTAATTTTTAAATTCATAACAGCAAGAATATATAGCAATACAGGCCCCATGAAAAAAWTTTTCTTAAATACTTTTCCTTCAACTACACACAACCTGCAAAGTTGGAACGGCTCTTTGAGCTCTGTTAACTACACTTCATGATAATGTAGTTAATAAAACCAAGTAAAACACGTCCCTCAGCTTCAAAAAGCACCACCTGTTTGTCACGTCATTTTCTCCCTCTTCATTCTGATGATTAGATTTTATGGCTTTAGACTGTTGCAATCGATAAATCATTCAGGTGCTTTTAGGACAAACCAACATGCAGCATGACAYATTCTTTCAAGGGGCCTGGGACGGTAAAACAAGCAGAAACAAACTGCAGCAGAGGACAGAATACATCATCTCAGCACTACAAGCAGAAAAAAAAACAAACAACAAATAAAAAAAGAAGAGTTCTGTTTACATTATCTCCTAAATATAAGTATCTGTGCTTGTAAAAAATGAAAAAAGAATAACTGAAAATATCAGGGCAAAATTTAATTGTAATGGGTTATAAATCAAACCACACAGCAGTTTTTCAGTCAGTTTTCAGGAACCCTGACTAACGGGACTTGTATGGCTTTTAACATTAACRTTATTAACATTGGCCATATAAAAATTCAAATGACTCAAAATGTCTTTGCTTTTATAATATTAGAGATTTTTTCCCTATGAATAAATCTTTCATGAMTAAATCATGAGATGGCTGAGAACATCGGTTTCTGATACAGTGACGTAAATTTGGCTTCCAGTCAGCTTCAGTTTGGACAATGTATGCAGCGATAAAACAATGATGGCGGCATTACTAAAAACGTAAACCTATATAATACAGATCAGAGATGCGTGAAAGTGAGGGTGAAGCAATGTCAACATGTTTTCATTGCTAAAAGTAACTTTGCTTTTAGTTTCAGTTGCAATTGCAACAAGACAAAGGTTTGACTGAGGACAGTTTCAAGTCGGGGTGTGCAAATTAAAACTCATGAAACTGAGCGACTCAAGGCCAAACAGTTCAGTCGTGATGTGTTGGCAAATCAATTAAAGAATGAAAACAGGTTTAACAAATTGCAATCCTAACAGAGTTTATATTTTTAATTAAATGGAGTAAAAGCACTTGTACATAATATAAATTAGGTTTGTTCACTACTCCAACATTTCTCATTAAACATTTGTGGATCATTTTGTAATTTTGAGTGACGATTCAAGAAAATACATAATTAACATACACAAAAACATATTCAGAAATGCTAAATGAGTTTGTAATTTTTTTCACTTACTGCTGAAATTTTTGTGTCCAACCATTTTAAGTTTTAATAAWAAACTTTTTTCCCTTCAATAAAACTGCATATATTTTATTGACATCAACAGTTTAAATAAAGTGTTAAAATGTTTATTTATTTATGAAAAATGAAATAAAAATTAAAACACAGTACACACAACTAGTAAATAACTGTATCTTATTATTTTTAATAAAGCTGAGAAGTGGTAAACAGTGTTAACTAGTGGCTTCAGCACAGGTAAGGATTTTGCATTCATGTACATACTTTGTATTTCTGATTTTGCCAATAATCTCTATTTTTTTGTTCTGGTGTTTAGGCCTGTTTTGGGAATTTCTGAATATAATGACATACAAAAGTTGTGTGCAGTGGTGCAAATATTGCTGCATTACATTACTGAGTAGAGCTATTTAGATTTGCATATGTAAAAAAGGGCTTCCTTGTCAATATGACAATAAAAACAAGGTAGGACATAAAAAAACAGGCACAACACATTTTGTAAATGATAAAAATTACAACAAGCCACTCCAATTTTCCATTTATCGTTGGATGACAAATGCATTAAACTCAATCAGAGAGACATTTAATGGACACAGCTGTTAACCTGCTAACTTACCTTACATTAAATGCTGCATTTTAACAACACTTTGCAAACAGAAGCAGCACCATCCTTCAGTGGATCAACATCTTTAGATTAAACCACTAAAAGTTGACATTCAAATATTATTTTAAATGGTAAATTCTACACATCAGCCTTGATTCTAAATATCTCACATAAAATAATGGTGAGTATGTCATGAAGTTTTTTTACTTTTTTAAAAAATCATGAGGATGCCACTTTGAAAAAAGATTTAGTACAACTACTTGAGAATGTTAAGTCCTGTTAGTCTGGGTTCCTTGATCTGTCTGATGTTGAATTACGTTTCAGTTCGGTTAATTTCATCTCCTAGAAGCACAGCTTACATAAACAAAGAAATTACCTATAGCTATGGTGTTTGTGTTGCATGTATTTTAACTCTCCAAGTGGTGAAACTTTAATGAGTATAGTCTCTGGAATATCTTTTTATGATAAAAACCACTATTCTATTTTTGTATTTTTGTATATATTTTATTCCATTACATTGATAGAGTATTGTATACTGTAAATACATCTTTCTGTGTAAATGTTTTTTTCTTATTCAATATTACTGTGTTGTGATTTTCTTTAATATACTGTATGTATTTTTTTTTCTTTTGGAACATGCATTCCTCTCCGAGTAAGGTAAATAGACAGGACATAATGTGATTGGTGGGGCCTTTGAGGGTGTGGCCGTGAAAAACACACACCTGTCGGTGCAGGCAGGTTAAAGCATTATTTCAGACCTTTGGAAGTGGGGTTCTGTAGAAAGGTTAGGAACATTTATTGTTTTACCAGTTGTAGATCATGTTGAAGAACGTTCGATTTGAGGAATTATGTTTAATCCTGATAAAGCTAGTCTGAGTGAGGCTAACACCAAAGTGGAGTGCTGCCATCCACATTACGCAGTCACATACAGGCTGTGTCTCAGTTAAGAAGCTAGCTTTGGCCTTTSACGTCCTCATTTTTCGGTGGCTCACATCTGCCCCCGTGACAAAGGCTATCACAATCCATGGGCTCCTTTGCACACGGCCAACAAATGTGGACCACAAAATCCCCAAAAATGAAGGCTGCATCCGAGTATCCTTCCCCAAAACATCCCAGGATTCATTGCGCTGTCAACAAACTAAACAGAAAAATGCAGGCGGCAGAGTTTATTTATTTATTTTTATTTTTATCAAGTTGGCCTTGTTTGGAAATTCGTTACGGACCAAATATCTTGTTTTTAAATGCGTTTAGCAACTTAGATGATGACATTTATGCTACAATGACATGTTAAAAAACACAATTACATGTACCGATGTTGGAGCTAAACCCAAATTATTCATGTATTTTTTAAATTTAATCACGTGTATCAATATATTTTAAGTTATTCCTCCAAGAATAATATAGGTGAATACATGTCTCAATGCATTTTAAGTCTGAAGACATGATTTAAAGCCAATTATGGTAATGGTGTCGTGCGTGGTCAAGCAAACAAACATAACAAACATCATCCAAAGGCTAGACCCTCTCATTTCACAGCCTACCTGGACCAAATCTGGACCTACCAAATCATGTTGAAACCAATTGTCTAAAACTTAATAAGAACTGCGTAAACATGAAATGCTACAAAATATTTCAGACTAGAGGTGAAGTTCGAGCTATCTTCAACAGGTAAGTTATTTGCTTCAAAACATTCTCCAGATCCCCACTTTTAAAGATCTGAACAATCCCTTTAAGAGACCAAACAAACCCAGTCAGGCTCTTGCGCTGGAGGGTAGTGGACGCCTCCTCCGGAAGGTTACCTGGCAAACTACAAGCTGCTGACAAAAAAGAAGAGCAACACTTGGCCTTTTTTCTGAAAGGGGTAGGAGAGTGAGAACTCAGTGCCCTTTTAAATGCAAGCAATTTTGTTCAGCCTTTCAAAAGAATTATTGTTGTTGTCCTAGCAAAATTCCTTGTCGTCATAGACAGTATTTTTTTTTATTCAAAATAAGATCTCAATATACATGATTCTCTCTTTTTTGACTATGTACAGAAGTGCAAAAAAGTCAACCTTCACCACCTGCATCACCTCAGTATTTCCCACCCTTGTTGTTTGCAGTTGGCAAAGTTAAAGCTGAGTGCGGAGACTCAGTTCCCTACTCGCCACGTTCACCTGCCCCCTGCCAGCAACATCCTTAAAAGTGATTAAATATGCAGCTTGTTTTCCAACATGGCCCGATTTCCAGGGAGAGTAGAAATATTCAAACAATAGTTATTATTTGAAATGGATACAGTAGAAAATAACATCTTTACTCTAAACATCTAAGAATTGTATTTTTTTATAACAGCATTTTTTTTCTTATAGGACTAGTTACAAACCTTACAATCATTAAAATATTATCCAGGTATTGGCGGTAGTTGCCACAGTGACAACTCAGCCTCTCTGTTCTATTATTTCATTACTGTTAGATACTCATATAAAACATCTTTGTTCAAAGAACACAAAAAAGACCAGARAAATTAACAATATGCATACAGTTCAACAATATGCATAATGTAGAAAATATTGAGTTTACAATCATAACCATACTAAAAGTAACATAACATGGAATTTCAAGAAACTGTGGATGAATAACACACAAACACACACTGTACCGTATATTCATTATTGTAAAGTTAAAAATCATAAAAAAGAACTAATCYCAAAGTATTTTCCAAACAAAATAAAATCAAACAGTCCTCATTCAGGAAAAAAAAGAAAGAAAGATAGAAAACACTGACACAGGAAGTGACAATCACATAGTGCTCTGTGGGTGTTATTATGGCATGAATTAGGCAGCCGTATGGTTCAAAATGGCATGTTGCATTGTGCTGACCCGATGGTACATTCTAAGGCTTTGGATGAGTTATACAATCGTTTATTTTTTTTCCACTTTAACCTGAACTATCCACATATTATTGAATCCACCAATCAATAACACTCAGCACACAACTAAAACAGAGTTTTACTTTAAACACCCAAACTGTCTTTGGGCATTTGTAAAATTCAGCCCCTCTAGTCTACCCATAACACCTACTAACAGTGACACGAAAGAACTTTGGCTATCTGAAAACAAACAAAACAAACAAACAAACAAACAAACAAACAAACAAACAAACAAACAAACAAACAAACAAACAAACAAACAAACAAACAAACAGTTCTCAGGTATTTAACAGGTACTCTTAAATATGGTGAACTATATATACACACTACACTAATTCTTCCCAGTCAACCTGCCTTAAAATACGCATAACCACACAAGCAAAACACTACTCACGTCTTGCAAATCACACCTCCATTAGTAGTCGCTTTGTAGAGTTTCAGTTTGATCACACAGCAGTTTAGAAACAGACTGATCACCCTGAGGGTAGGCATGGGCCGGTTTCAAGATATACAGTTAGTTGAAGAAGTTACTGTATCAAAACTAATGAAATGATCTATCATGCTGTTTTTTTTTTTTCAGTTTTAAGATTCTTTTCATTTGACTTTTCAGTTCAGTCTAACAGGTTTAAACTCAGACTGATCACTTTGTGATGAACCACGGCCCGGTTGAAGATACACAATCGATTTTAAAAGTCATGGTGTCAAAAACTACCGACATTTTCTGGGAAACTGCTTTCGGCTTTTCAAGAGTTTCTTTTTAATGGCTTTATCTCACAGCAGTTTAGACTCAGACTTATTATCGGCATGGACCAGTTTAAACCCTCCTGCTGCCCTTGGGTCAAACTGACGCATGAGGCTGAGTCAGTTGACTGTCTAGTTTTTGCAACAAAACAACTAGTTTTTACAGCAAAATTAGAATTGTTATGTCAAAATAACWGAGAAAACTAAATCTGATGTCATGATCTATTATGACTTTGTGTCGTTATAAGGTTGTTTATTAAARCTTCTCTAAATGCTCTTCATTATAGACCTGGAATGTTATTTTAGCTGCAGTGATAGAAATAGCATATCTATATATTTTTTATATAAAGCCTTCAATTTTTTATTACTGAAGCAATAAAATTATGGTATTTTTGCTCAAGATTACAATACAGATGTACATTTTGGGAGTGATCAACTGCATTTTTGATGCAGCCTTTTATCGTATAATTTGTGATCAGTTGCAGTCATTTACTTTAAACAGTGATACAATCAACATGTTTCTTCTTAATATGTGTGTCTCTTCAGCAATGTAAGAAGACTTGTTGACATTCCATTGTAGCAGTGCAGACAAAAAAGTTACCACTCCCAGCCGTAGGGACACCATTTTTAGTTTGGTTCTGATCAGGCTCAGGGTCACACACACACACACACACACAGTGGCTCTGAACATGAGAAGGAATTTTTAGATGTGAAAAATAAACCTTTTAACTGAGAACAGAACTTGGTTTTCTGCACCATYAATCAGGCATCCGAGTTTTCAACACTTAATAACAATACCATTAGATTCTCAGTCACCCCAGCCCATGCCTACCTGTGCCTACAAAGCTCTTCATCATCTCATCCTCATCACAGATGGAGCATTTGGCCTCTCAGATCGGCCAAAAACTCCCACACAACGTGACTTTATCTACAGACAGACAAGATCTCCTTTTGTGTCGARACAACTGACATCAACAACAAAGTCAAAGAAAAGAGCACAGATAAGCTATTCAATCAGTAGGAGATTTGGGGGAACATTATCTAATTTCAGTGGTGCTAATGGGAAACACAGGTCATGAGGTTGGACAATACATGCTGTCCAAGAAAGAACATGTTCCTATTAAAGGGAATTGTTGAGTTTAACACTTTGCAACACTGGTTGAATACGTTTGTGTACTTTTTTTTCTTTTTTTGTGGGTGGGTGGGGTAGGGGATGTGTGTATGGCACTTTACAGGGATGTCTGCAAGGTTAGAGACATGTGCTTAAGACACAGAAAGATAGGCTACAAAGGTTTGAAAGACACCTCACAGACATTCAGTTTTGCCTCTGAGTACACTCAGAATAAATTCCCTTCTCACTGTTAAAACAAAAACAAACCAAAACAAAGAAATAAGTGTGCATGCATATGATTCAGTCAGATTATTATAGTTTTTTTTCTTCTTTTCTGTTTTACTTCAACTGAAAGACAAGGTGCACCTCTGTGTAAACAAATGAACAATTTAAGTCAAAGACCAACAACCGACGAGAAAACTAAYGACACAAGCCATCGTTCTTGGTCAACGGACGTACCGATTCAGTCGGCGTTCCTGGCGACTGCTCCACACATTTACCATGCATTGACATTCAAAATGTGTCTGGTGAATAAAGGTTAGTTGTCTCTGCAGAACGAAAGGCAGTCTTTAATGCAATGAGGCTTCTTTTCTGTTGTGATACTGTGCATGAACTTTATATGAAAACCTTTTAGACAAACTGTTCTTCTCCTCTGTCGACATGCAGATTGATTCCAAACCAGTTCAAATTTGGTTTTCCATTCCACTCTTGATCTTACTACCATGAGGGATGACCACTAATCACCGGACACCAGCATGCTCCAGTTCATCCTGCACAGAGGGTCACAGGATACAGCACATTAGATCTACTGGAAAAGGTCAAACTTTGTCCAATTTGTTTTCAGTCTTCATTAGACAACATCCTAAATAAACATTTTGTTCAGATGAAAAATCAAATTTTTTATGAGTAGGACACGGTATTGTATGTGGTGCTGGAAGAAGGTGCTGTACATACTGTTCTGACTGAGACGCCTACATCTGGGTCACATACTTGTGACTAGTCAGATGGTCTGCAGATATTATTGGAATCTGATTGAGAGGAGAAAAGAGAAATGGAGTGGGGGGGGGCGTAATGAAGACGGAGAGAAATAAGCAGATGGATCAGATGAAACAAGGACAAAGAGCACTTCAATTAACACTGATAATAAAGATAACCATGGCAATCATGTGTGTAATCACTGACAGTCGAGATAACTAAYAAAGATCAGAAATGGGGCCTTGTTCACAATTCATGCCTTTTTTCTAAAGAGCCATATCAATACAATTAGAGAAGACAGAAAAGTCTGAGATGAAACCAGACGTGAAAAACAGTGAGAGGAGGCAGGAGAGAAGCAAACCTGATTGGCTGTTGCTGTTGCAAAGGGAACACTTGTGGCAGATGTGGTGGCTGCAGACACAGTGGCTGGAGAAGCACCGTGCATCATGGGTACTTGAGGGAAAAATCACACAGGCAGTTGAAACGGAGAAGATTTAAAGTTTCACAGGCTTTTTCACTTCATTTTCATGTCTGTGTATAGAACGCTAATAAACATGAGGACAGTTTGTAGGTTTTGAAACCTACGTAGTTTTGTTTTTGAAGAATTTCTGTTTTACTTCTTTATTTTTAGTTTCCAGTTTGGCTTTATCTTTAGCAAGGTTTGGCTAGGGATGCTTATTATCATATGAGTCACCACTGAACAGAACAGGAAATGTTTTAAACTGCCGGAGGACACCACAGACAACCTGCTCAGGCACATGGGCAACAACGGGTGGTCGTTTGCACAGGAAAGCTTGTGGCTGTGAGGAGACAGTTCTAACTGAGTGATGTCACAACCAGAAAATCAATTTGAGTTAAGAAACAGACAGGAAGGCTGCGATGCATAATGAAATAAATAAGAATATTTAAAAAGACTTATTCATTGCTTATGATTACAACTGAAATAAATTATAAATAATAGAATAAACCAAATGAAGGGCAGATAATTGCTGAGTTTGTGAAAAAAATCATGAATATTTTAGCAACTCCAATCTCTTCTATTATTATTTTTGCCCTAAATAATAACTACTCATGTTTATATGGCTTATATAACCAGACAGTTAAATGAGGTGCTCCAGAGGTTAGAGAGCCTGAGAGGAGATATAATGAAGCTGGGGATTTTGCACTGCAACAAGCATTAGGTTACTGACAAAACTGTGACAGAGCTAAAGGGAGGAACATTCTGTATCTTTACGATGCACTGAGGGCTACAGTCAAATAAAGCCTCCTGATGGRATTACGTAAGTAAATTCAATAATAAGATTTGCAGTTTTATCAGACATGAAGAGATCAAGTGTGCCGTTTTAATTAAGTCTAATTTTGCAAAGTGAAGAATGTACTCATATTATATGGTGAGTCAAACAAGACAGAAGAGACCACAAAGATAGTCATTAARGAAAGCTTGCACCTACCAACACTTGTTGCAGGTGTCATGCACAATATCGAGCCTGCCCATCATGCATTGCAGCAGGGGATTGGCGTGAATGGAGGGGGAGGGAAAAACAAAATMAAGAAGAGTGTTACAGAGTCAGACAAAAACTGAAATTTGACCTGGATATAAACAGATGATGGTCTACATAGATAACCTACTTAATTCAGCGCATTAACTTTAGTCAATATTGATGATCAGTGATAACTCAAGTAACAGTCAKTCTCAGGATTATAGTTCATCTGATCCAATAAATGCTAATTAAATACAAAATGTGGCCTCATTTTCCCCCGTCAGCAGCAGAGCAGCTGTTTGAGCAATGAAACATTTGAATGACCTCTTTTTTGAGTCTCCAAAGTGTCTTGTAGTGACCTGACAGCCCAGTAGAGTGAGACATATGAGGAACTGCAGGGAATCAATAGCAGGCTATTCTTAGACTGTCAGATGAGACTATTGGCCACAGTATGAGATGACTCTGCAGTGCTGGAAGACTACTTCAAATAAGTAAGCTGCTCATGTGTGAGAATCCTATACATGTACATATCCACACACCTGGGGAGTAGTTCTCATTCTGTATGAAGAGGATGCATCCTCCAAACTTTTGAAATGACACTTTAGGAGTTTCCAATAGTTAAAAGTATGTTTTTTCCAATCAAATGTTGACATCTGCTCCTCATCAGGTTAAACATGAAAACCCCTTGGCTGCACTCTTTATCTAATGGGTGGGACTACAAATATTTTTTTTATTACAGTATGACTTGTGAAAATAATATGTTAAAGACTTGGATTTGTACAAAACAGTCCTTAGAACAGATTCTTAAAGTAGACATATCATTCTTTTAAATCCTTTTACACATTTAAATCATTCAGTTGGCGGTCTTTATAAAGAGGAACTGCAATGCTTTGGTCTGAATTCCTCCTTGTGTTAAATTTACAAGACCCTCTTTGACCCCTTTTGCTGAGGTCTGTCTCAGATCAACTCATTTTCACGCTGTCTCTTTAAATCCAAACGAGGTGCTTCACACCCTATTTTACTACGCAGAAACTTTTTTATTTACAAATTAATTAAAAGATGTCAGCAATGGAAGACTTATCCATCTGTCTGACCCAGAGCCAGAGGAGAATGAAGACGACAGTTCCGTCTGAAATACGTTGACATAATAGTTCAGAAAACATAATAGAAAAAAGAAAAAAAAAAGAATGAGATAAGAAACATGACCCAAACAGAATATAATGATATCTACGCAGCACCAGGAGAAACTAAATTGAAATTTTATGCACTCCTAGAGGCTCCAAGTACACAACAAAATGTATTTAATTGTTCAAAAAGTGAATTTTGCATGATATGTCCTCTTTAAAAAAAACTTGGCATTTCCTGTTACTGCCACTAAACCTACATCCATGCTGTATACTGTACAAACAATTCACTGCGTGCAAGTTTCATGTAAAAAAGAGCACATTTAGCCATTCTCTGTGATAGCAAAACATAAACCAGGTAAGTGAAAAACACACAACAGGCAGTAACTAAATGGGTGAGAGAAGAACGAGGTCTCACCTGATGGTATGAAGGCAGCCTGCTGCTGAAACTGCATGTTGGCCAGGGCCTGTTGGTACTGGAATACACCAGCATTGAACATAGAGTTGGCACCGTTGGCTTTTTCAAGTGCAGGTCTCTTTGGTAAAGGAGACAAGACAGGAGGGAGCCCCTGATAAGGGGACAACACCAACATAAAGGATGGAGGTGAGAGGAAAACAAAAAGATGGCACCAGTGACATTACAACAGAGAGAACAATAAATCCCATTAGGACACAAATTTGCCCTTCAACAATGCCACTACAAATAACAGTGAACCACATTACTGTTGCCAGAGGTGCAAAGTGAAGCTAGCTGGCAAAATAGGACCTCTATCTAGCTAAAGACAGTAGAAACAATCCATGGCATATATAAAAAATATATAAAATGAAACATTAAACTAATAGTAAATTACTTATGTTGCTGAGTAAAGCCTAAAGTCTTTAAAGATAACTTTGTGACATTGAGGTAGAAAGATGAACTCATATTTGGGCCATCAATAGAGCTGATGTAGTTAGAAAAAGCTGCACTTGTAGCTCCATGATAATAGTACATTATAAGCCATTTTTACAGTCATGACACCTATTCAACAGTTACTCATGCAATATGGGAACAGACAAAAACATGCAAAGACTATCATACAGCATGTTATTTGACACTAAAATATTTCCCATGAATAATTTTGAAGAAGATGATGAACTGACAGAAAAATGAATTTCTCATTTGAATAAATTTTCATATTTTAGAATCGGGWGTCCTAAAGATCAATATTCCAAAGGAAACTTTAGCATTTTTTAAATGCAGCAAAACGGCAATCTGTTCATCACCCCTCAGTGCTTACTCAGTTTAGTCAATTAATTACATTGTTCACAAGTATACAGTATGTATCACACCACAGCTACATGCCAAGCTAAAAGGTGAAAGGTCATAGTACCAGGTCAAAAGTTGCGTCGAGGGGTCGCTTCAGTGATTTGACAGCCGACTGAGTCTTAATTAGCAGGCAGCGAGCACATGATGGCAATGGGCCAATGGGAGTCAAGCGCAATAACATAAACCAGCAAGCGGAGGTGCATCATGGGTGGGGGGGCAGCAGTGCAGTGTGGGTTGAAAAACAAACAAAAACAAACAAACAAATAAAAAAACAAAATCATTGGAATGCAATATACACCACTTACAAGACTAGGGCATGCACATAGGGTTACTGAAAACAGAATTCTGATGCTTGATGCCATTTACTGTTATAGGAAACTTCTGGTTCATGAATTATAACTTCAGTTTAAACAGTGCTCTGGTCCAGGGAGGAAGATTAATCATGGAACCCCAAATATTCGTGTATCTTTAACCATGCTATGATACATTGACTACTTAGAAGCTTTTGGTGAGCCTACAGTAAACCAATCTGTTTTCCTGATATCAAATCCAGGTTTTCCTGCATTGCCTTAACTATATTCGACCCATTCTTACATTGGTTTGATGACCACTATTCTTTTTTTTTTTTTCAATGATGTGCCTGCTTTGTACCAAAGTTGCTCCAGTAACATTTTACATTTCAAAAACCAAGCAATAAAAAGACACATGCTGTCTTCACTTTTACTGYGAGGCTGGCTATTTTATAACATTTCTAGTTTAGCTTTATTGTATAATCTCATTTAAAAGGGTTACCCAGGATCAAGCTAATCCTCCTTTCTGGATTACCTGCACCACAATGTCATCTACAGCACTTAGCTGAGCAAAACCTTAATGTGTCCCTAGAGAGGCAAATCGCTGCATTGYTGGAACAAGATTAAGCTGAACAGCGGTCTCTACACAGTTGTTTTGTCAGCAAAAAATAAAATAAATTTAAAAAATAAAAACTGTGCAGGCTAAATATTGACTTTGAACAGCAGCGAAAAAGGCAAAAAGGAGGAGCAGAAGGCTCAGTCACAAACTAGCATGGACACTACTATGGGGTGCCGTTTGTAAAGGTGCACAGTCAAAAATTACCACCAGTATTTTTGTTTTATTTAGCCT